TTTCCGGCTATAATTTTTAAGATGAAACAATCCGCTCCGCTCCATCCTTAGCTTTTTCTGACATCGAAGCACATCGGCCCAACCAACACATACAACGCCCTTTTTGCCGGCACCCACCCACAACCGGACTCCCCGGAATCCCCGTGGCCATTTCCCGCAGCCGGGTGCCGAAATTTCAGAAATCCAGGAAGAGCGCCCTGCGGCTGCTTCAGTGCATATTTTGGAGCAACCTGATTAGTCCGAGGGGCTCCCCTTCACGGCCCCTCGTATATTAATTCGTCTCGCCCCCGGATTTCTACCCTTTCGATATAGCCGCCGTAGCAGTGGCCTGGCGGGTATCCGTCTTCGCATACGAGAGTTGGTCGCCAATAGATTAGCTCACCTTTTCAACGTTATTGCCGGGTACTGTAATTGTCATGTTTTGGGTTTTCGGGGTAAAAAGGAAAGCGGGCCGCTGGCAAGACAACAATTGCACAACCGCCCGTCTAGGAACCTGGCGTGTCAACCCTGGCCCGTCTAGGACCTATGAACGTCTTCAATTTGCATGCTTCTGACCGAATTCTAGCAAGAAAAATCTGAAAAACGTCTCCGCTAACCCTGTACATGTATATAGGCTTTCCCCCTTCCGGCATATGCTAATTGTTTTCCAACAAAAAAAAGACGATGGCCGAGAGTTTCACAAAATTCCAGTTTGAATGCCAATAACAAAAAAAACATCTAACATGTGTGCAGTCGATAAACACAAACACTATTTTTTATATATTTGCACATTAAAACTTTATTTTCAATTGAAAGTGTAGGGATAGTGTAGTGTCCTCGCGCTAAAATGCGTTTTTTTGAGGGATGCGGTAGTGGTTCATCGTCCTAAAAAGCGCACTTCCAGATATTTAGCAATCGCAATCTAGTTGCCCAAATTTCTTCCTCATCCCGATATCCTCGCAGAGAAGTTCTCAATCACATCCGGGTAGGCTTGGAGGTGGCCCTCCTCCAACTCCCCAATACGAAAATAGTCCATTTCGGTTAGTTTTGTTTGGAGTGGGGGGGAGGTGGGGTGGAGTGGGGAGGATGAGCGAAGAGGAAGAGGGTGACCTGGGCTGGAAATCGAGTCCTCTCAGGGGGCCGACTCACCCAGAGATTCGATTGTGGCCCAAAGGGCTCGGACACGACGATGGGTCCATCGGAGCCTGAGGGGGGGGGGATCCGGTTTGAAATATCGCCCGGGGCTGATCTCGCAATTTGCACCTCCTCCCCACGAGGGGCCGCCTCGGGTATTTTTCTGGCTAATTGCTAGATGATGCTTGAGCTGCAAGGATTGAGCCAGAGGCGCCGATTTTTGGGTTGAATAGCAATAGCAATTTTGGTGATTTTATTTGTCAAAAGGCTTATTGCACGGAGGGGCATAGTGAGCCAGGCGGCGCGCGGGTGAGAAAATTTTGGGCCGAAAAGTGGTCCGCTGTCGAAAACCTTGTAGAGATGCGGGTTTTCGACCGAGTTCTATCATTTATTAAAACAAAATAGTAGAGTTTCCTGAATTAAAATTGGCGCGCGTTAAGCCAAAAACTCGTGTTCCACGTTTTCAAATGGATACGTCGGAGCAGAATTCGATCATTTGTCGAGCTCTTCTATTTGGGATTTCAGATATAGTCATATAGCGAATTACTTTACAGGCACTTATCACCTTTTATTGTTTTTCTGTTTGTTCTTGGTTCCCCCGAACACACAATTGATTCCCGTGGTGTGGAATAATCGGCGCGGATTCGCAGGCCCCCTATCTTGTTTTCTAACGTTTTCCAGCCACCTATTTGTAGCCATTTTCCCAGTTGCTGCTCTCCCTCGCCCATTGCAGTGCTTTGTGTTCCAACCGCGCGAGACCAGCGGGTCAACATTCGTCTGGCTTCATAATCTTTGAAATGGCAAAAATGGGGCCCACCCGACCCCTGAGGGAGGCCCCCTTCTAATTAGGTCAATACAAATGAGCCCCGTCCGCCCTTTCGACTTGTCGCCCGGCTAGGATGGATTGTGAAAAAGGCTTTGTTCCGATGGCTGAGGAATAAAAATTGGGATGAACACTGAAATTTTAATTTTGGGTTTCGCATTTTGGTTTGAGTTAATGCGCGAATATCTCGAAATTTTTGGAAAATGTAATTTCGAAAATGTTTATTTTCTGTGCGATTTAGGGCGATTCTGTATTCAAATTATTTGAACACGTGATTTTTGAGCGCTTAGAAGAACAGCTAAAAAAGCACCTCTGGACTAGATTTTCAATCAAAAACATTCAGTTTATTAACTAAATAGTCAAGGTCCACATAGTCCTCAATTTCTGGACCCACGATTTGAAGCCAATATATTTTCAAAAAAAAGGCAATAGCAGACTATGTAACACTTTGTGTTGTCTGTTCCATTGCTCCCCCCGTCTTTTCCGGGCACCCTCTTTTCGAAGCCGGTTGCTGAGCCGATTTGAATTATGTTAACCACCGCATTTTTCGCCTACACCCGCAGCATAGGCATCAAAAATGTTGGAGGAGGGTAATTTTTGGACTCTCAAGTCTTGAGGGCCGTCGCTACTTAATTAGCCTATTTCCGGGTTTTTTTTCGGAAGTTCTAAATCAGCACATGGCTTGTTTTTGCCCTGTTGATCGATGGTTTAAATATGCCTTGTTACTTTTTTGTGCCTAATAAGGCTTTTCATTATTATTTGGGTATTAGGTTCGAGTAAAGGATTAGGCCTAGGCTTAGAGTTGCGTTTAGACTTAGGTTTAGTCTTAGGTTTATGCTTAAGCTTAGTTTAGGCTTAGGCTTAGGCTTAGGCTTATACTTAGGCTTAGGCTTAAACTCAAGCATATTTGTGTGCTTTTGTTTTTAAAATTTTTTGCTGGCAAATAGCCCCCAAGTGAAACCACCTGAAAAACGTTAGATTTATAGGTTGAAAGGCCGAAAAGGGAAGTTGATCCACCTGAAAGTGGGTCTAATCCCAGACCCCTCTGAAGGACCCATGTGGGCCCCCGGGCCCCGATCTTCCTCGTTCCGCCCATTTCTGGGTGGCCGGGAACCCGGGGATTACTCTCATCTTCCGATCCTCATCCCCCATTTCCTGCCTGTTCTTTGTTTCCCAAAAACACGAGCTCGCACAATTTTCAAAAATTTTGGGATGGGTAGAGTCAATTGTGCAAACCATGGGGGGTACGCAAATTTTTGTGATCGACTTGTTTTTGTAACCGTATTTATGCAAATTCTCTCACCTACATACTTCAATCGTATGGCTTTACTACTGACTAGTTTTGCAATCGAAAATTTTTTACGTGTTCGAATCGCAAGCACATTTTTTCCGAGAAGCAACGTATCTTCGGTGTCAACACCTAAAAATGTAGGTCGTGTAAAATAGACACGGAACGGCCCCGCCATTGACAATTGGCTCTGTTTTTGCGTAGCTCGCCGCAATATTAGTCTACTTCGATTTTCGTGATTTTTCCCGTGCCCGCTCGACTCTTAGTGGATGTATTTCTTCTTCAGCTTATTTCTTTTTTCGTAAATTTTAAGACGCTATTTTTTTAATGCAAGTATATTTTTGCTTCGAAAAGGTGTAATACCTTAAGAATTCCTATATCACCTGGTATTTACGTGCATCTCTCTCGCCCGTTCTCTCTCTCTCTCTCGCTCTATATCGCCCTCTCTCTCCCTCCCTCTCTCTATGAAACAACACTTTGTGTCTTCCTGTTGATGTGAAGCCCTGCAAGCCTGCTGCGCACCCTAAAAATAGGCATTTCAGACGGGATTTGCAGCAGCAGGGCCCTCCTCCTATGTTAGAGTCGCCCCAGAATGCCTCCACCGATGCCGTCCTCGCTTCCGGTAAGCCTCGGCCATGAATAACAGCCCAACCCTCTTTTCCGGGCGCCCCTGAGTCCGACTTCCATCAAAACCCCCGTCCGTTTGTTTAACAAGTTGGCTACGGTAGAGGCTCAAGATATATAAAAAGTGGAATGATTGATGAATCCGAGCCAGAAAATGCTTCAGGACCTTCAGTTTCATTTGAAAAATCGGGCTTTATGGAAAAACTTCTCGAAAAATTCTCATGGCTTGCAGTTAGCTTTAGCGTGCATAGGAGGACATGGATTTCGGAAGCCGCGCCTAAAATACTGATTTACTAGAATTTTTGAAAGCTATGGTTGTAAGCTAAAATTGTTAACAAAAATAACCGGACAATGTGAATTGTTGCGATATGTAGGCCAAAAACGAAAACTCTGTTTGCAAAACGGAATCGTGAACCAAATGCAAATCCGTTATTTCGGCCAAAAATCCGGCTTCCCACCAAGATCCAAACAAATGCAAACTCAGTTTCTGGCCAGACGAAATCGAAGCAAATTCCGGCGCGAACTCCCGTTGTTTGAGCGAGCGCATCGCCACGGCGTATTCAATTTCGGAATTATCCGCCCAAAAATCGCGATTTGCGCACGCGGAATCCACTTACGCGGCAGGGAGCTCCCCGGCCGCACACACATGTCAAATATAGCCGATCTACGGGCTTCACCCCCATCCCCCTTTTTTGCGAGAGAGATCGGTGGTTCACACGTGTTCCAAAGTTGAGTGCGTGAGAAGGTGGAGAAAGAGGGGTCGGTTAACCAACTGCATAAGCGGTTGGGCTATGGGATACTCACGGGGCCCGAATTAACATTTGTGGACTGGCCATAATACCTTTGATTCTGCAAAAATCAAGCAGGCATGATAACGACAATTTGCGCTAAAAAGTTTAAAGAGACAAGGACCTCAGGGATTTTGCGCGTATGGGTGTGTTGTGCATCTTACGACGCTCTCACGCCCGCTCTTTCTCCATATCTTTCTCACTCTCTCATCTCTCTCTCTCTCTCTCTCTCTCTCTCTTTCTCTGTCTCTCTCTCGCTCTCTCTATGTCTCTCTCCAAGCTTCAACCGGAAGCACCATTTCCACCGAAAAATAAATCAAAATGGAGTATCGAAGCCATATTAGGCTATTCAATACGATACAAAATGAATTTAGGTATCGCATGGCGGAACCCATTTCTGGCCCTACTGCTCCTCTGCTTCTGCCTGGTCACCGTTGCCGGGAATTGCTTGGTCGTACTGGCCGTTTGCACAAAGCGGTACCTTCGAAATCCGACCGGGTAAGAGCAACTCTAAGAACCATTTCTTGAATGTTTGCAGGTACCTCATAATCTCGCTGGCGATCGCTGACCTGATCGTGGGGCTGGTGGTCATGCCGCTCAACTCGTTGTACGAGATGACGAGCCATGTCTGGATTCTCGGTAATTATCGACTGGGGCGCGAGAAAGAGGAGGGGAGTTTCAGGGTTGACGATGTGCGACATTTTCCACGCGCTTGACATCCTGGCATCGACCAGCTCGATCTGGAACCTATGCATCATCAGCCTCGACCGGTGAGTGAATGTGAACTGCGTTAGTTTACCAACTCGGTAGCCCTATTAACTCCCAAATTTTTCTAGATACATGGCAGGGCGTGACCCGATCGGGTACCGAGACAAAGTATCAAAGCAGCGCATCCGAATCGCGATTTGCCTCGTTTGGATCGCAGCCGCGGGTTCGAAACATTTTTTTGTTAACATTCCAAGTTTCAGGTCTCTCCTTTCCAGCGATTGCGTTTTGGAGGGAGAGCTCTCCCCATTTGTACACGGACCAGGTGCGTAGCCGAGCTGAAGACTTCAAAATATTATCGTTTCTTGACCCTTACGACCTCCATTGCAGACACAATGCGTCTTCACCGACTCGGCGTTGTACCTCGGTTTCTCGTCCTTCCTCTCATTTTATATACCGCTTGGGCTGATCCTGTTTGCGTACGGCAAAGTCTATGTGATTGCCAGGAACCACTCACGGGGATTGATGAGCGGTATCAAGAAGGTTTGTGCCGAAACGAAAACTCGTTTTTTCTAGTCCTTACCCCAATGTTGGCCCCAGCACCTAACAAAATTACTCTCTAATACTGCTAATTCCAGATCAAAGGCGCCAAAAATGGGGAAGGGAGTCCGATGCTTGGCGGAGATGACGGGTCAGCAATGCGAGTTCATTTTGGAAGAGGGATCGGCCTGAATAAGAAGGGATCTCGGGGCACAGCAACTGGAAAGCTGCTTCTCGCGCAGGTATGATCATCGATTTGCTATCAGAATGCGGAAACTCATTTTGCCGAAACTCATTTTGTCAAAATTTCACTTCGTCGAAACTCAAAAGGTGGAAATTTGACTATGTCGGATATCAATCGGTACCGGCACCCGACCAGCGAATTTGGTGCCTGAAAAACCGGGACGCGGTTCTGGAAATTTTCACAAAATGAATTTTCGCGGAAGTGGATTGCGACAAGATATTCCGAAAAACTGTTTTAGATCCCTTGCAAAGTCGTCCACCCGCCTAAGAAAGACTCGATCGGGAACTATAGCACCAGCTCATTCCGTGTCGCTTCGGTCAGTTTTTTATGGGCTCTCTTTTTCACAATGTCTTTCTTGGAATAGGCTAGCCTTTAAACTAAATTAAATCCAAATGGAATCTTGAATTTTACAGAAAAACGAGGAGGAACAAAATTTGCTAAAAGCAAATGGCAACGGCCGAGCAGTGTCGCTGTTGGCAAAGACGGTAGCGCTTTTGCCGTAGCACTTACAAAAGTTGTTTTTAAGCAATCGGCGCACAACTTCTTCCCTAGCGACCGGGAAGAAGACAGCGCGCTAATTGTCTCTAATCACCAATCTCCGATTCCATCACCATTCACCGATCGATCTCCATCGACGTCGAGGCGACCGATGCGGAAGCGGGTTGGAGTTCGGGAGAAAAGTCGACAGATGATGAAGTGAGATTTTTGGTCAATTCTAGCAATTTCCAGGACAGAACGAAACAGAACGCGCACAGGAGCGCTTTGTAGTCTAATTGGCAAACTGTTTGCAACGATTATAGCCAAGCACTTGATGCTCATTTTACTGGTTGACTTATTGGTACATTCTCCGCGAAATTAGGGTATCAATTTTGTCATTAATAATATTTTCAGATACGTCCACGAACAGCGGGCAGCTCGCACGTTGTCCATCGTCGTAGGCGCCTTCATCCTCTGCTGGACGCCTTTTTTCGTCTTCTCCCCCATCGCTGCCCTCTGTGAATCGGTAGGTGTTGTTCAACTACATTTTTCACGACTTTAGTGCTTTTCCAACCGCGACACAATGTTCACTATCTTTACGTGGGCCGGTCACCTCAACTCGATGCTCAACCCGCTGATTTATTCCCGATTTTCTCGTGATTTCCGGCGTGCATTCAAGCAGATACTGACGTGCCATCGAGAACGGAAGGTGTGTGAGGGATTACTTTTGTGTTACTGTAGAAATTATGGAAAAATCTGGCTTAATAAGGCTCAACGTCCAAAAAAAATTCAAATTTAAGAATTTTGAGAAACACTCTACTCCCATATTGTTAAATTGGTCAAGATTCGGGGTTTGTGGGCGTAGTAGCATTGTTCATTTTTCTAAGAAGCGCCAGCGGATAGGCGGGGGAAACTTATCCTTAGTGCATTCAACTTTCCAAGGATCCATCCGGCGGATTAGAAAACTGAACCTTCTATGACTCCGATTTTTTTAAATTAGGCGCCGAATATTTAAGAGGATACGATAATTTTAATAAAGTGAACCTTTAATTCAAATTTAGACAAAAGCTGCAATCCGTACGCCACTCTCACTTGTCTTCACCCAACTCATATCCATCACCCAATTCTGGGAGCAGCCTGAAGAAGAAGAGCGGTGACTCCTCGTCGATCTCATCTATTCTGCCCATTCCAAAAAACTCGATCCTCATCCTTATCCCGCGATCCCTCTCTGCTCGATCCTCATTCTCGCCAAAACGGGTTTCCACACTAATCACTAGCTTTATGCATTTCCGCCGGAATCTCATGATTTCCTACGCTTCACTTCGGACACATTCAAACTAGAATTGCGGCGCTTTTGCGTTTTCGGGGCTAGCGATTGAATTTTTCCATTTGAAATAAAAATTCACGCTCTGAAATTGTTTGCTTACTTCTGTACCTAGAAATCATGATAAACTTTTATCCGCCGGAAGTGTGAAAACAATCCGTTTTTCGACCAGTTTTTTTGTAGCTCCACTAAAAATATTTAGTATTAAGCGTTTGCTCTTAAAAATTTGGTTTCCCACCCCCGATAATGCAAAAGCATCGGTTTGCCTATCCTGCCACCATTTTCATGATGGGCTACATCAGCACATTAATGGCTACCTGTCCCCATTGATGCCCAAACGAATTGCTCTTCAAAACCGAACCTTCAAATTCTCTACTGGGTGCATAAGAGGTGCTTTTGAAAGTGCAAAGCGGCTAGGCGTAGTCAACGTGCAAATAAATATTTTTAATTTCTTTTTTCTGTGCACAAATCAACAAAACATTCAAAACATCGGTATATTTTTTATATTCGTTTCCTGGCCGAGCACGACTCGTTGCAAAGACATTTTCGCACGATCGGCACAACCGCCATTTTGCTGAAAAATATTTAAATGCTTGGTGCTATCAACGTATTATTATCAGCTATTATCTATTATTATGTTTTCTTCTTGCCCACCTGGTACCGTTCTTGCAGTGTAATTTGATTTTTCGCCTTTTTTGCTTGACCGCCGTGCAGCAATTTCCGTTTTCGCCACAATAGCCATCACAACGTGCCGATTTGATCTCTTCAATCGACCTTCAAAATTCCCGATTTGTGTTTTTTGAATTGAGTTTTACCTGCAATCACCCTCCTCATAGTATTCCTTAAACTTCTCCTTGTTGCACTGAATTTTTTCTGGAAAATTGGGTTTTAAAGAGATGTTACTCATATAGACGCGATATCGGGATAACATGCTAATTTGGATGTAAATCGTAAAAGTCGGATGGAAAGCGGGAAAGACAAGAAATTCTAATTAGCATTTTATCGCGAAGTCGGAATATATGCGAAAGATCTCTATTTTCAAAGCAGTGGATATGCGAGGCGCAAAACACACAGAAACACGTCGATGAACGCGTTGCTAGTTCGCGGTAATCATCGCGGTAGTTCGAGTTTACTAGTTTTATGATCTAGTTGACTAACTGTTCGATTTACAGTTCTCAAGCTCGTAAATTAGACTGACTCTGTGCGCAATTGGGCCCCATGAAGTCCGGAGGGCACTGGCATCTGTAGCCGCGCGGTGTCTTCACGTCGACATGACATTGCCCGGTGCCGCACACCATTCCCGCACAGTAATCCACAACTTCGTTGCAACCTGAAATAATACATAATTGCAATGTATCATCCTGATTGCATGGTGCTAGCAAAGCAGCTACTCTTTCTCAATCGCTAACCTTTTTCAATATCCAGTCGCTCGACGACATTCGAGAAATCAACCATTTTCCCATCGATGACCAATTCCGAGATGCAACCTGAATCGAAAACATACGAAAAAAGTTCAGACGCCCACCCTTGAAGCTCTCATTCTGCCGGATCTGATATTCAGCCAGGGCCACCTCGGCCACAGCTGATTTCGGGCGTCCAAAATAGAAAAATTCCTTCGACTTCAGCGCAAATTCCGTGGCACTTCCCGAATTTTCGACCGATTGGACTGCTGTGTCGTCAACCTAACGAGATTATAGGCTGCTTGCAATTCCTGTAATGCCGCATACCTTAACCGACAGACGCTGGCCTTTCATCTGAAGGTTGATGTGGTGGGGCAGATTGTCGTTCACTAGAAAAATGCAGTGAAAAACATGTAGCGGATCTTACGAACGGAATAGCTGTACAAAACAGATGCTGGCGGGTTGCCAATGTCCCAAGAAACCTTCAGTCGGCCCGCGAACAGCTCCAACGAAAGATGTGCCATCTTATTTCCGTAATAGGCAACGAGACCGTTTCTACAAATGTATATCTCGATAATAGAATAAATATAGAATATACAAAAGAAAATATAGAAAATCTTTCTATCTATATACGTTAAATCTAGATAAGGCTCACCTGCTCTGACTTGTCAATAGGAAAGTGACGTTGGCACTGGATTCATAAAGCGGTTCCAACGCTACGTAAGAGTTTTGGGAAGCAAAACCGGCAGATGAGAGAAGCTCGCACTAAAATAATATGGGATAAATTATTGTAGCTATACAAAATTTAGAGCCTAAAACGATTAGTAACTACCTTGTCCCCCATGTATCCAGCGTGACATTGGCAAACGGCTTCCTGTTGATCGTCGTCCTCGCCGAAGACGCAGGAGCCCTAAAATCAACGAATATTTATGTTTTGCAAGTCTCCATTACGTGAATACAAGAAGCCGAACAGTGTTGCGTCCTTTGATAGAGGAAATTTGAGGAGGGTGGCAGTTCGCAGTGTGGCCCGCGGAATCCGTCGCTGCACTCACACGAGTATGAGTTGACGCCATCCTAAACAAGAAGTAAAAAATGGGCATTATTCCGTCAAAAGTCCTAATCATGTTGTAAGGTGACTTACCATGCATTTCCCGCCATTCTTGCACTCATTTCCCACACAGTCATCAATATTGGTTTCACAGTCTTTGCCATAAAAACCAGGCAGACACGTGCACCTAGAACATTTGCTATCTCACTAATGGAATCCTTCTAACTTGTAGGTTCCGTTCGTGGCGCTGCAAGCACCTGTATTTTTGCATGGGTTCAGCTTCTTCGAGCAGTACTCGAGCTTCTCCTCGCAATATTTCCCAGCGAATAATTCGTTGCATTCACAGCGATAGGTGTTGATCTAAATTTTAGGCTGTATCATAAAGTAGTTAGGAAATAAACTTCTAATATGGATCAACAATTTTTTTCTTAACTTACCAGATCCACGCATTTGCCACCATTTTGACATTTGTTTTGCGCGCAGTCATCGATGTTCGTTTGACAAAATTGGCCGTTGAAGCCCTTCTTGCACACGCAGGAGAAGCGCCCTTTTTCGGTGACCTGGAAGAGATTTATATACATTTCTAAACACCTAACCTTGCAGGTAGCGTTATTCATGCAGGGATGCCCGAAACAAGCATCAATTTCCTTTTCGCACCTCTCCCCGTAGTATCCCGCCGCGCACGAGCATCTGAAAATTCGGAGCTACTAACGAATATGCAAAGCAAAGTGTATAATACTTAATGTGGGGCAAAAAACCTACGAATATTCGGCGCTGCTCTTCCGCTGGCACGACGCTTTATTTTCACATTTATGTTGCACGCAGGGGTCGCATTTTGATAGTATCCTGGGTGGGGTGGATTCGGTGCAGAGCAACTGATTCTGCTGTGCCGTCAGTAGCAATTGGTTTCTTAGTGCCGTTGGGCTTTCGCATCTAGCGATGCCGGCCTCTATGTACCTGGAATTTAAAGGTAACGGAGAAAAACGGAGAAAATCTGAAAACGGAGCCGAAAATCGTTCTAAAAAACGAACTTTTGTTTGATCCACTTCGAAAACCAGAGGATATTGCAGTCACAGTAGAGCGAGTTGCTGCCAAGTGCTCTAAAATGTGGCATTTTATTTCCAAAAAGTTCCAAACATGTGTGTAATATTTTCCATGCCCTCAAAAGCGGTTTGTGGCAAGATGGAGATGTCATTGCCATGCAGCGACAGAATCCGAAGGGTAGACATTCCTAAAAGTGTACAACAAATATTTTATCATTAAAAATATACAGGAGTTTGAGGAACATAACGGCATACCTCCGAAGGCCCGTTCGGCTAGACATTGGATCTTGTTGTAGCTGAGGATAAGCGTCGAGAGTCGGGGCAACCCTTGGAAGGTGTCGTTTTCGACCGAGTTGATACGGTTATTCGAGAGATCTCTAAAGATGGGGTTCACTTTTGAAAAGTCCCTTACAGCTTGACCAAATTCACGAGGCCGGCCAGCTTGCGTGGGTCGAGCTTGGTGATGAGGTTCGAGTCTAGGAGCAGCTCGGTGGTGGCGATCGGGACGCCCGATGGGATCGAGGTGTGGTTTTGGCCGGAGCATCTAGAGCGTGGAAATTCAGGATACGATAGCATATATCTTGTATTAAAAATGCAGCTTTTTATCGCACTTACCTGACAATAGTGTCTTTACAAGTACACCCCTGTGGACAGTAATTCCCATCATCAGCACATTCGTCCCGAACGCCTAAGTGTTTAGAACGTCTAAGACGCGCCAAATCCTAGTCACCTTCACAAGAAATCGCTTCCGCATCAATATCTACAAACTTCGTCGATTGATCCCCGGTTCGACAGCTGGCTTTCTCGATCATCAGCGCCGGTTTTTCGCGTGACCACTCGACAAAAGACAATAGATGACAACCACAGGTGAAGTTATTTCCGGCCAGAATCCTAAAAAATATGAAAAACTATAGCCAAAACGCACAGTGATTCCAGCTTTTTCAAGGACGAAAAAGCCCTCTCCGCTAGGCACTTCAGATGGTTATTCGAAAGATCACTAAACAAATACAGATTAAACAAAAAGAAGATTTCACATTTGCGAGATCTGCGGCATCTTGGAGAAGCTGTCAATAGGGATGCCAATTAGCTGATTGTCGGACAAATCGCTAAGAATAATAATTTTTGGATGAATTATTCCTTCTTACATTCTATTAAGATTCGGTAGATCGAGAGCATTGTCGCCAAGCTTCGTGATATGGTTGCCGTTCAGGAGAAGTTCAGTGGTGAACTGGGGAATGTTGTCCGGCGCTGATGTTAGTGACCGTTTACTAAAGTTTATCAGCTAAGTTTTAATTTTCAACGAAGCACCGACCTGCAATCAACGACAGTTCCGCTGCAAGCACATTCCACCGGGCAATCGTGGTCGATCATGCATTCCCCAGCCCGATCCGTAGCGAACATCTCCGAGCCCAAAATAAAACTTAGCTTCAAGCAACGACACATTTTGCACACCTTTGCATCGGAATCTCGATGGTGGCACAGCCGATAACCGCTTCTTTGCCAACCGCTTCGGCGCCTCGCACCTCGCACCCGAGGTTTCCATTTTTCGTGCGTTCAGCAAATTTGCTAACCATTCCTAGATTTCGGGATTGACTAGCTTTTTCACATCCTACCAAATTACAATCACAAATCAACGGGTTCTTAGCCAAATGCAATGTCTGCAACTTCTCCAAGGCTCCGAATGTGCCATTGGCGATCGAGCGGATTTTGTTATCGTAGAGCGAGAGCAGATTCAAATTTTTGAGTGGCGTCATTGAGCCTTTTCTGCAAAATGCAGCGTCGTCAAGAATTTCGACATTGATTAAAAATCCGAGTTAACCGACCGGAGACAAGTGAGCTGATTCGCGTTGAGCAGGAGGAGTTGCAGCGAGGAGAGCCCGTTAAAAGCTTCTTCGTGAAGAGATTGGAGGTAGTTACCATAGAGGACCCTATGTAGGAAGAGTTTATGGCTAATTTCAGGTAACTTACAATGAATTCAACTTTTCCAGTCCTGAAAAAGCGTTCGGGGCGATTTCGACGATTTGATTCTGACTCAAGTCAAGTCGGCGAAGATGAGGGAGATCATGGAAAGCCTTGGCCGGGATGAAAGTGATCTTGTTTTGCTCGAGACGCCTGAAAGAAATTTTAACCCTACTTGCCAGATTATGAGCGTTTTCTTTCGTTTTTTTTTTGCAAGCCATGCCTGGAGCGAAAAAAAACTTGAACTTACAGTTCCTGCGTCGACTTTGGAAGATTTGACGGTATATGGGTAAGGCCCCGATCTCTGCAATCCACCGTACTCTCCGTACAAGTGCATGAGATGGGGCAGATGCGGGTGTCTGCGCAACTGAACGACGCTCGCTTCTCGATCCCTGAGCATTTCAGCTCCTAAAGCCGCTCGTTAAACTTAGTTTTGCTTACCAGAATTATAATAAAACCCTCATATAACATAATAACTCACGTCATCGCGAAGTGAGGGTAAGAAACGACCGTTCAGGAGGGCTGGTCGATAGCACTTGATGGCCGACTGCCACTGCGGGTTCATCTCCTGATGCACCCAAGACATTCGGCAATCACAGAGCCAGGGGTTATCGGCTAAGCGGCTAAAAAAGATCGATTTTAATAAGAATCGCCATTGATGCGTGATCTACGTTTTTGAATGTTCTGACAAGAAAGAAGGTAGAAAACCCACATCGCGCGCATCGATTCTGGGACCGAAAATTTCGACAGCGTGGTCAAATTATTTCCATTGATGGCGAGCACTTCGAGCGATTGCCAAGATGACATTACGTCGGTCTCCATGCTTAAAAAAAAATCGTGTCGCACGTGACAAGAGCTTATAGACCCAGGTTTCTCGTCGCAAGACTTCGATTTCATTTTGTCTTCGACCCATTTGAGCCTAATCCCCCTAATCAGCAATTCCGAGTTCGTACTTTGCATCACTCCCCAAATACCACCAGGCTGTCCATTACTCGAACCATCGTGTATTCGGCAATGTGTGAATGGGCCCGGATGGCCTATGGGCTAATCCTTCTCCCCTGCTCCCCCACTGGTTGACCCCTTTAATCGCCCGGCACCCGAACACAATGCCCCCCGATTTGTGCCCCCGGGGACAGTGTCGCAAAGTCGCGAATTTGACACTATTCCAAGTCTTTAGCAAAGGCAAGTTAGGCCTTGAACTTGGCAGGGAGTGGACAATTAACCGGAGATTGCGACTCGATTGTTCGAGATTTTTCGAGGGTGAATTTGAATCGCAAAATAAAGATGTGAGTATCTGGTTTTTGCCTTAAAGGGGTAAGGAAGGCCCAGTAGCTAAAGGCTAATTCTATAGGCAACGTGCCAACCGGAAATGCTAATGAAAATGCTAATCTTTCCTGGGCCTTCCTGATCCCTTTAAGTCAGGGCCTGAAGTTTGAACTTAATTGATTCCCCTACCAGAACAGTGCATTCCGATCGAGTTGCAGGTTCCGCATGGCGGTCGGCCCACGCAGGTGTTCATTGGTGATGATGGCGAGCCGATTCTCGGAGAGGTCTCTAGAAGTATCAATCATCTCTTGCGTCCACACTTTTTAACTATTTTTCGTGTTGTATTTTGTCCCCCTATCCAAGGTGATGCCCCTGCCTTTCGGCGTGACACCGGGCACCCACCCGGCTCGGCCATCAACTCGAATACCAAACAAACCAAACTGGTTACGAGGCGCCGGGGGCTACTGCCAAACGCGGGTTTTCCATATTTTCCGGCTGTCACAAAAGCCGACTATCAGCCCCTCAAAAAGACGGTGAAGGGAAGTCGCCATCCGGCAGAGAAAGGCACATGTGCTGTACGCGTTTTATGGGTAGGCGAATGGGTCTTTCCAGGCTGAGACTGAGCAGCACCATAATCTCGGTTGCCCGCTAATAGACCAACAATGCTGTTGATGCCTACGATTGGTGGCATTTTTTGGAGGGAGTGAAATGGGAAGGATTTGAGGGAAATTCGCTATTGGAAAATTCCATTCTGGCTGCCGATAAAGTACCGCCCTCTAGCGGACCGGAGGAGCAAGGATCGGGATGATTTTTATACCATTCAAAAGTGCTCAAAAGAAGCGACGATAAGCAGGTTTCATCTTCTAAGATGTCCCATCATTAACGATCGATATAAACTAGTTTAAGATCGTAGTTTTTCTGAGAAACTGGTAGGTTTCAACAGAAGTTTCTCAATTAGCATGCAGGCCTTGCATAAATCTTCCGCTTTCGTGGATTTTGGATGCAAAATTCGCTAATAAAATTACCCAGTGAAGAAAATGAACCCTCCTTGTTTTCTCGCCTTTCCGAGGGCTTCAAAATTTAAAATTCTATCTAAATTCTGGTGCCTCTCAGCCCTTTTGGATATCATAACTTTCACACTCCACCTTTTTTAAACTCACATCCCCTGATCCCCCAAACAAGCTATGCTACTTTTCCACAACCCCCTAGCCCTGCTCACTAAACCCACGACACGGCTGAACACATCTGGGGTCCCGGACATTATTAATTCTTCGTGAGCCGTCCCCCGCTTACTCCAGCGAGCCTCGCACTTTTTTGCGCGCACTTTACGAGTGTGCCGCGCCACTCACTTAGGGCCCGGCGAGGGGCCCGAAGTGGAAATTATCGAGACTCACGCTCGCTTCGGCAGGGCTAGTCCTTCCCCGAAAAAGGAGGAGAAAAAGCTCTTTTCCCCTTCGAGTTGGATTCGGGCGAAATCCATTAGGCATAAACCATTAGTCATAACCTCATTAGTCATAAACTCATTATTCAAAAACCCATTAGTCATAAATTCTTCTTTTTATTTTTTCTTCTTTTAGTCCCTTTAATTCTTCAGAAATTCTTATTAGTCATTAGTCATAAATTTATGACTAAACGGTTTATGACTACTGGAGTTTATGACTAATGAGTTTATGACCACTGAGGTTATGACTAATGGTTTTCTCGCCGTTCCGAGAGTTATCGATAGATCATTCAATCGTTAAAATCGGGCATGTCTGCGCCTCGCTAGAGGGGACCGACGCTGTAGATGATGTAGATGTAGATTCATGGGAATCAATTCCATATATAGATGAAATTCGGTTAACTGAACATCTACCGAGTGTTCAGCTTACGCCTCCAAACTTTTTTTTGGCCTTTTGCATACCCTCACCACCCACCAAGCCACAAATCAGGCGGCCGGGGCGCAGGTGGTGGCAGTGGTTGGTGGTGGGCCCTAGCCGATCGACTCGTCTTGCTTGTGGGGTGAGGACATTTATTAGGCAGTTGACTGGTCCGAAGTGGAGGGGGGAGGGAAGAAGATGGGCCATAAGTCTCCAGCTAGAACAACAGTGCCCCCCTCGGCGTCCCCCTCTTTGGCCACGAACAGTTGGCCCGGCTGCCCGCAATTGGGGGAATGCGATAGGGCCACGCGGGGCACTTCAAAGCTTCTAACCGGGAGAACGGGGCAAATCGTGGGCACCGAAAAGGAGCACTATCTCTACTCCAAAACTGAGCTCCAACTGGACACCGACCCGATTTATTGGTCCGGATCGGCATGGGATACTGGGAGAGAAGAGAGACTACCCGAATCTTAGTCGACCTTGTTTTATGCTTTAGAGTGACCAGGGCTTAGGAGTTGAGGCTTAGGCTTAGGCTTAGGCTTAGGAGTGGTCCCCGACCACTTTACTTAGGCTTAAGCTTAGGCATAGGTTTATGCTTATGCTTATGCTTAGGCTTAGGCTTAGGCTTAGGCTTAGGCTTAGGCTTAGGCTTAGGCTTAGGCTTAGGCTTAGGCTTAGGCTTAGGCATGGCTTAGGCTTAGGCTTAGGCTTAGGCTTAGGGCTTACAAGGTGGAAGTGCACGACCGGCCCACGAGAAATCGACACGATACATAGTGGATCTGATAGAATCGGACACGGGGATTCCGAATCTGTAATTAGAATTTGCTAAATAAAACGGAGAAAAAAGTTA